ACTCTAAATAAATAAATAAAATTCATTTAATTGAAATACGAGATATATATATATATTTTCGTCGTCACTATGAAAACAAATGATTTTTTGAAAGTTATAAGAAAGAATAATATTTTTTTATATTTTATCACGCGTATAATTTTTATATATCCATATATATTTAATTAGAAAAGAATTAATAAGTATCAATATTAAATAACAATCAATAGGCTATAATAGGCTGATATAATCATATTATAAAAAATCAAATCTTTTTAAATTACTACGGCTATATAGCTGTTCCTTTAAGGTCGTCATTTGACACCTTTTCGGACTGTTCATATATCCGATGAGAAGCAAGGATTCCATTTCTGACGGAGAAAATCGAATTCAAATACAACGAAGCAGCGACATTGCAACTCGGGATCGCAAAATATATTACGGCCGCATCTGTAATGCATTTCCCAAGCGAACTATATTATACGAAAGGAAAACGAGAGAAAAATTATTTAAATATAATGATATGGTTGTAGCGAGTTAACTTACGGTCTCGAGGCTGTTTAACCATGTTCTCTAATGATACAAAAAGATGCTATGTAAAATTAAACGGTTTTTTGCGATCCTCAATCTACAATTCGCAACTGCAATTTTCAATCTGTGTATATGTAGCTCGAGCATTTTAAAATATTGTATATAAGATCGTCTGTAGAAAGAACTCGGGAGGCGAAAATTCCTCTTTACTTCCATTTTTCGGACTCGATATTATATAAAAAATTATACTATACAATTTTTATACAATTACATATATATAATATTTTTATCGTTTCACATTTTACTATTCTTAATTTATTAACTTATTAATTTATCAACCCTCCCTCCCCTTTCCATTATTATTTCACTATTATTCTTAATTTTTTACGATTTTGAGAAAAACACATTCAAAGTTTCAAGTTTATTTTTAAACAATATATAAACGATTTCTTTTGACTTACATGAAACCATGTATTCCAGGGCTATATAATAAATCTTCTGTCGAAATTAATCCTTGTCAAATCGAATTTGACTTGCCTCGAATTTGATGCTTTTTTGTTTTCTTCGTCATATTTTGTGCGACGCGTTCCACTTGTGCGGTATTCATCTGCTTTTATTGCATACTGGTACACATTTGGTTCTGCAGCAATCTCCATAGCTTGCATGATTTGTAATAATGACAATGTACTTTCATTATACAAACATGCTGCAATTTGTACAATTTTTGTGCCACTATGTCATATTTTTGGAACAATCTTTCAAATCAAATTATATAGACTCTCATTATTATGTTTGTAGATAAATGACAAAAGATCTCGAACAAAAAAACATGTACTAACATGTACAGATAAAAACGAATGGAGAGCCCCGAGCTCTGCGGAATTCTATCTAGCGACGCTCGATCGGCCTATTTCTTTAACACGCTATAACTTTTCTATTTTTATGTATTTCGAATATTTGTAAACTTTAGGAAAATAATCTTTCA